GGTGTTCAGTAAGTCAGGAAACGGGTATCTATTGTTCTCATTGTTACAAACAATGAGAACTATAGAAACCCGTTTCCTGACTTACTGAACACTCTGTATATATGGTATCAAAAATTTTCTTTAAAATTGAACTACAAATTGACTATCGTCAATTCTTAAAAATAATTTATATAAAACAATTGTTTTTGGAATATTTTTTGTAATTACGAAAAATAATATAAAACGTATTATAAATACAGTCCTCTATTGTAAAAAGTATAAAATGTCATATATATCATAAGTTATGAGTTATCAGTTAGATCTGTTTTACTCTGTATATAGAATGTAACAAAGGTATATAACGCAATATTTTCAATGTTTATAATGTAACAAAATTCTGGAAAACAATATTTTTCATACACAAGTTGTAACAATATAATATAGAACTGTGGTTTTGTACATACAAGGTTTGTCAAAAGTAATGATCAAAGAAATTGCTTAGTTAGTTCACTTCTATAAAGTTGCAACAGGCTTAGATTAAGGAGGAATGAACGCCCAGTAGCCTGTTATCTTAAAGGGCCCGTCACAAATTTTGTTTGTTATGATTAGTGATAAAAATGTCACTCGACAACATTTGTTATAAAATCTAAGATAGAGTCTTATTGAATCATAAAGTAATACTTTATCATAACACCTTCGTCATTATTTTTCTCAATTTTTGTTTTGTTTTCATGATTTGTAAACTTAAATTTGCGTTTTTATTTTTAATGCTTTTATATTATAAGACACTGGTTGTTTTTTTAACAATAATTAAGCCATAATATTAATAGAATAGTGGTGATAGAAGTGAGGTAACTAATTATCGCCCCATATCTAAGCTTAATGTCTTACCAAAGTTATTTGAAAAATTATTACTACCTAAGCTTGCATATACATTTCAACCTATTTTAGTTAATAATCAACATGGCTTCCGTTCATCAAAATCAACTATAACAAATCTTCTTACTTTTTACACTACTTTAATATCCGATATAAGCTCTGGAGGCCGCGTTGACGCTGTGTATACTGATCTCAAGAAAGCTTTCGATAATGTTGATCATTCAATTTTGTTAAAAAAGCTAAGACTTTTGGGTGTAGGTAATCCAATGCTTGCGTGGTTTTCTTCCTTTCTCAAAAATAGAAATCAACAAATCAAAATAGATAATTTTACTTCGAATATAATTAATGTTACTTCAGGTGTACCACAAGGTGGCCATTTGTCTCCTTTACTTTTTATCATTTTTATTAATGATTTATGTCGAATTTTTCAACACTGCAACTATCTGCTTTTTGCGGATGATCTTAAGTTATTTATGACCATTCAATCAGTTGATGATTGTGGTAAATTACAATCAGATTTAGATAAATTCAGTTTATGGTGTAAAAAAAATGGATTAGTAATTAATACAAATAAATGTCATCAGATAACATTTACTCGATCTAAAAATGTAAATATTAATCAGTATACGATTGATGGTTGTAATTTGCTCAATGTTTATAGTATTAAAGATTTAGGAGTTATATTATCCAGCGATTTATCTTTTTCTAACCATATAGATTATATTTACAATAAAGCCTCACGAACACTTGGCTTTTTGAGAAGAAATTGTAATGAATTCAATAATATTTTGTGTATCAAAACCTTGTACATTTCTTTGGTAAGATCAATTTTAGAATATGCATCTATTATTTGGTGTCCATATAAAATAGGTGAAATTAATAGAATAGAATCTATACAAAGACGTTTTTTACACTTCATTTCTTTTAAGTCTAGGGATTATAATGTGTCGATCGATGAAATAGGAATCTCTCTTGGTTTAACTTCCCTTGCTTACAGGAGAAAATGCAATGATGTTTTTTGGATTTATAATCTCCTTAATAATAATGTAGATTGTCCAGAAATTTTAAGTCTAATTCCTTTTAATGTTCCTAATTTTCATCTCCGATCTAATAATTTATTTTATGTTAACTCATATCGTCAGAATTATAGTTATTATTCACCGGTCAATAGAATGCTACATTTTTGCAATTTAATTAAAAATTTTGATTTCTTTAATGACCATTTAACCAAGTTAAAATCTATTTGTAGTGATGTATTTTAATTATTAATTTTGTATGTTAATAATTTAAACTTCTATGTATGCTGTACATATTTAATTATTTAGATATTTTGTATTTATATTCTGTACTCATTGCCGTCTGTGGCCTACTCAATATTTATTTGTTTTTTTTCTGTTTGATTATGTTGTGTATTGTATATTATAAAATAAATAAATATTGAAATAAATAAATAAATAAATATTGAATCTCATCTAAAACATGATAATCCAAGGTTATTAAAATATTGTTTTTCTAATTATTAACTGAAAGAGGATTATTTGGGATAAATTAAATGAGTCTTCAAATTTTAGTAACTTATGTTGTGTCTATGAAATTAGTTCATCTTTAAAAATTTGTATTAAAAGTTTTTTATACATAATCTGCTAGATAATATGTTCCAAACAGTTTTAGATTTTTTACTTAAAGCCGAATACAATGTTGTTGACTTTAGTATTAAGTATATTATTGATATTTTTTGTGCATGTAGTTAAAAATTTTCCTAAAATGTTAGTATTAAATAATTAATTGATATTTTCAGTTGTTTCTTAGTAACAATTATTTTACGGATTTGAGTTAAAGTGATTAAATGCCGTCTAATTTCTTAATAATTCTTGTTATATATATATCACTATAGTGATGAGTCTTTACGATTAATTAATCCAATAATTCATTTTGAAAAATAAGTATAGTTTTATTGTTTTTAAATATTAATATTTATATCTTTTAAATGATAATTTTCTCGTTTTCTTTTCTTTTTTTGTATCTGTAAAAAACTTCACCTCGGACGGACTTTGATAGAACAATAAATTATTATATTTGCTGCAGAATCATTACTATTAAAAATAGGAACTTAACTGTGATGCAATCCGATGAAAATAATAATTAATGTATTGAATGTCTAAAAAATGATATGAAAAAGTGTCCAATAACAGAAATTGATAAATATGTTACATGTACGGCTGTTTTTCGTAAACTTGTAAAAAAATTGTTTACGGTGCCTTTTATATAATTTATATCAAATATAAATGCAAAACATTATGGACGTTTTAATATATCTATCAAATATATCCTAAATTGCACTTTAAATAATTAAAGAACACCAATAATTATTATTAAAAATATTTTATCGACTCTCTGCTAACATAGAAAATAATTAAAGTATAATTAATAACACGTTTATATTTGTTAATAAATAATAATAGATATTATTACATTGTGTAAAGGTTCAAAAAACAATAATATAATTTTTAAACGTTCAGTTTGATTAGTTATAATATTATGTTATGGCATCCACGTTAAGTTTTAATACATAAATATAATTTAATAATACAGCGTGTGAGAATAAAATAAAAAATTTGCAACAACTGCACAAATGTAACACAATATGTAAACTGTCCGTATCGTATTACATCATTTACGTGTACAATATATTCAATATATGATATTGTTAGCGTTAATGTACATGAATAATATGGGACACCTAATTTAGTGTCGAGAAATAGGAAACTTAGTAGTTGGGTGTACAAATTTATATTTAGACAACAAAATATTGTAGTGTGAACTAAGTAAAGGTTTCGTTTAAAGTAAAAAAATTGAATAAAAATTTACTATAATCTAAGCAATGAAAATCGTACAATAATAATAGACTATGTTCTTATTTTACAAGCGTTGTCAAAGTATTTGTTTAGATTGGTCGCGATGGCTTTTCGTTCGCGCAAACTACCTCCCCGATAAAGTCGGTGCTCTTGTGCGTCATTGTTACCAAATGTCCTGCCGCTAGAAGAATACTTGCTCATGCTTCTGAAGTACTCGCGGCGTAAATCGGCGGCCGTTTTGTGTGGTGTGGGGGGCGCCGTGGCTACGGTGATGGACGACGAATGGTTCACCGATATTTCGTCGCAACTGTAACTCGAATCGAAATTACTGGTGGCCGTCTGTTCGGGAGTGTCCGGCTTGTCAACGTTCTTGCCACTCGACGGCGGCTTTTCGAACGAGAGCTCGGACGACGGCGATCGCTTAGCGTTGGCACCCGCAGACTTACGGCCGTTTATGCGAGGCAACGAGTTGTATCCGCTCGACCCACTGGACGGATACTTTTTGGCCGCTGTTTTGTCCGCGATAACGATACTACTTCCTGCTACGCTACAAGTCGTAGTTACTGCTGAAGCATCGCATCGAACTTTCCTGGGCAACGTGGCACTCCGGGTCAGCCTGTCTGGCCATTGCTGTTTTTTAGTTTCGCCACAACGCTGATCCTGTAAAGTTATAAAATCGATTAAAATTTGTCCACGATACTATTATTATTTGGCAAGTTAATAAAATACACGTTCTAAGAAAAAAAAAAAAATTAACAAAAGATCATGTGGTGAATTAGGCTCGACAGTTATTATTAATTTGATAACACAAATTTATGATAACACACATATCCATTTAGTCACAATTTGTCACGCACTCCGAATTTCGTTCTTCTTTTACGTACAGTAAACCAAAGTCGAAACGTGTCGGTTTCAAAGATATTTTTTATGAGTTGGATTTTAGGAATGTAATGTATAAGTACAGATACATTGTGCAAGTATCCACAAACGGTGAGGAACATGAATTCTTGCTGACGCACACTAGCATAATGCAGCGAGTCTCCGCTCTTTTATAAATTCAAACGTAAGGGAGTTCGGTTGATTTTTTAGTACGTGTAGTATGACTTGCGAAGACCATAAACACATATATTATTGCCCGGGAAAATCCAACATCTTTATCTGCTTTGTGACGTAACAGCGACAAGACTAACTACCGACTGTCGTATTTGAATGGAACCAACAAACAATAATTGATTGTTTATCCCATTCAAGCAAATTCGCTGTTTAGTTGACGCACACAACTTTCATCACTTTTTTTCATTAAATAAGTCTAAGCGACTGTATAAGAGAACTTTTTTTTATTTAAATCATTTTAAGAAATGCTGAGAAAATATTGTGAATAATTATTACTAGTTATTTAATACTAGATGAAAATGCTGGACAAAAAAAAAAAGAATAGAAACCACTAAGTGATTCTAAGTAGTTAATATTTTTCAGAAACTGAAAAATTACGTTTTTAATTATTAAATCATTTTATTATTTTGTTACTTCATTTTTCATAAATTTATTAAATAAATATTATGGATGTTATTTACTCAGAGTTGACGTTTAAATTAAACGTAAACACATTATCTGCTTGCTGAGTACAATTTTAATTATAAAATAGAGAAATATTTTATTGAATGTTTGTATTACAGTTAAAAGAGAGAAATAATTTTTATAAGTATATATCAACAAAATAATAATGTGATAACGCTTACGTTATTTGTACAAACTATTTAACTGACTACTAAATATTGTTTAATTTTGTACAATTAAAAAAATTACGCGTGCATCAACTAGTAATTATGAACAAACAATATTATTGTTTATAATTTTAAACGATGAAAATATTTACAATTATTCTGATAAAATCGTTAACGAGACGTAATAATTTTTAGTAATTCTGAAAAAGTAACGGTTTTGTTTTTGATTTTCATTAAATATAATTGATTGTGAAGTTAAACGAAAGTATTAATAAACTATTTAATAGTTTTTAATAAAATTTTATGACAACCTTTAAGTAATTCAATGACATATTTTAAGTGTATCTGCGGTCTTAATAGAATATGAGCAAAGCGATAAAAATAATAACTAAATATCATGAAATTGAGTAAATATTAACCTGGTCAGTTTGAGTAGAAATAGTCTGTTGAGGCTGTGCACTCTTGTTGAACCATTCTTCTGGCGGAAATTGAGTGGCACAACAATTTGACTTCCGCGTTTTAGAATTAGATCGACGGCTACCAAATAGTCTAGAAAATATTCCTGGGGACTTTCCTAAAAAAATTAAAGTAATTGTTTAATCAGTATGTCGGGTCAATGAAACATCCAACAGTTGTTCGACGATTCGTACTTGACTCTAAAATTCCACTCGTACCATTGTCTTCGGTTTTGTGTTTGTTTGATATAAGTCTCATTGAACCACTCCGTTGAAGTGTATTGGCCAAACGTCGACTGGTCGAACTGCCCTTCAGCGAATTGCGCCGTTCCAATTTCCGGGTGTTTCTGGGTGACAATTTTTTGTCGTTCAGATTACCTAAATAATAATACAATTTCGAATATATTGATTATCAAAACTCTTCAGGACACATCAAGTGAATACAGAACTAACTACAGATAAATGATAGTGAAAAAGAGATTAAAAAAAAGGTCACTTGTAACACTAGCAAATCGTGCATGTGATTAAGAAACTAAGTCTCTCGCCTCGCAGAGAGGTCCTTTCACTACAGTTTAGCAATAAAAAAAAGTGTAAACGAGTCAATATAGGAGGCCTAATAAAACTATAACGGCATATATTTTTATCGTTTTTTTAACACTGTAGGTGTACGGAATACTTAATGAATGTCGTTGACACGTTTCCAACATACTGTTTTTGGTTCTATAAATATTACATGCTTTTTGCCGCTATCGAAAACGGTATTCGTTGCAATTACTAATGTTAAGTTTTATGCACAGTGACCCAGTTTACATAGTCGGTCAAAAAAAAAAAAAATCTGAATGTCTAAGAAGATGACAAGTAATTCACCTCCGGATATAATGTCGGCTAAGTTGGTCTGAATGTTTTGATGTGTCTGATCGCCATCTCGGATAGTTTCGATGTCACCGTGAACTTTTACATACGCTTCTTCGGCAGACATCAAGAAGCCTTTTCTGCTGGGACTACAGTAACGACTACCATTGTCTAAACGAATACTATGTACTGGGCTAGCCGTCGTAGAGCCCACGAGTCTTTGAACTTCTGGTGTTACTACAAAGTAGCCTTTTGATGTTTGGTATACCTATAAAAAAAGATTCAATAAATTTATACTGCCAATTTCAGAAAGATATCCCGATAATTTTGTGATTCTAATATGAAGGAAAATAATGATTTAAATCAAATTACTGAGACATTTCGCGAAGCCTTTGAAAAAGTACCATCTCTCGAAAAATATGGTTTCAAAAAAAACGGCTTTAAATTTATGGCCTTCTATAGGAGTCACAATGTGTATAACTTATGTTTTGAGTATTTATATTAAGTTCAAGTAAAATTTTATACAATTTGCTTGTATAATTAGGTAGATGATAATAAACTATTATGAATTATATGAAAATGTCAAATATCACAAATTACGATATATTGCCCTCTTGCACTTGTAGTGTGATATTATCACTTCTATATATTTATAGAATATTAAAATGTTGTTTTCTTTTTTTTTTTAATAAAACTATATTACACCATCTTTTATAGAATATGGAAGTAAATATAGAACGACAAATTACAAAAGGGATGCATTGTAAATTAATATATTATTATTAGAAAATTGTTTTTTCAGAACTTCCTTGATTACACGATAATTATAGTTAATGGTTTGCTTATTTGTTCTATTACAATAATGTAAATTAGAATTTCTACTTAATTTAAATAAAATATTGGCGAACATTGCTGCCTTTAATTTTGGAATGAAATTTATAATTCGAAAAACTTATAACTTTTAAATACTCTTATGCTTAATTTAAAATGATAATTTTTAATTTTATACAGAAAATCATCTACAATACTATTTTTTAAATATTTTACTTGACTTGGAAAAATTATTGCGATATGAGGATAGCTGATGTGGGTGTGGATGTTGTGGGATATCATGTCAAGTGGAAGTTTAGAATAAGGGTGGCCGACCCCAAGTAGTTGGAATTAAGGCGAGGAAAAAGAAGAAGAACAAGAAGACTTCACTTAGAAAAATTGAATAAATGTAGTAAAAATGTATTTTAATGGGACTTTTAAGGAGTGATAAAGGATTGTTAAAAATAACATTATGTTCTATATAACCATTTAAAACTATACCTTGTTGTCAGACATCAAATTGACCATGGCATCATAAATAATTTGCTCGGACGGTGGTTGAATGTTCGAAAAAAATATACTCAGAGCCGACCGAATGGTGTCGATAGTGGCATTCTGATTGGCGCTAGTCAACTCCAGAATGACTAGACACAGAGCTTCAGATAAAGGAGTGAATTGTCCTTGGTTGAGGTCTTCCACAACGCAATCTTCAACATCTCCTGAAAATTATAATCAATTTCGTGTTCAATAAATATTAATGTTGATATGACTAAAAAACAATTAACATGTCTCAATACACTTACCGACTTTGGTGATAACGTAGCTATTGGGTGGCCTCAGTACGTTTCTACACCATGCTCCTCTGATTACTTCCATGGAACAAGGGTCGCTGGTGAGTAACAGGACTCCGGGTGAAACGTATCCTTCGTACTTGGCCACTTGCATTGCTTCTACGAGACTCCTATTCCAGACGCATTTTAGATTAGACTCCAAAAAGCTCTAAACAATACAAAAGATTATTACTTAGCATATTTAAATTACAATAGTTTTAAATTGTAAATACAAATATCAAAATTGATAATTTATTTTAATAGTACTTGAAAATTTGTAAAAGAATTGTGTTAAAACTATTACAATTTTATGAAACACTAAAATATTAGTCTTGTGTTTTACAATGACACTTAGAACATTATCAAAGTTAGTTGAACTATTTCATAAAAGTAGTTGGACCTCTTTGTGAAATACTGTTATGCTAAAATTTAGCATAGTACATGATTAAAATAATCAGCAAAGGTGATAAACTAATAAATAATAATCTAATTTAAAAAAACTTGAAGTTAACAAGCCAATATGTATATTAAAGTATCCATTAATGTATCGGTTATGTGGTAAATGAATAATTCATAATGTGTGTTTAATTACTGGTTTAGGACAGTGGTGGAAACTACTTATGTGATAAGGAAACGTGAGACATATGAGGAAGGATTGACTGTATTGGTCATCACAGGAATACTGATTGCTGCTTTTTATTTATAGTCAGACTTGCCTGAAATATGAGATATCCATTGTCGTACATCCAATACGGAGATGCTTCTGTTTGTTGTGGGACATATTTAACCAATGATTGTTTTTGTAAATGAATTGCCAAACATCTCTTGAGTATGTAATGACATCTACATCCCACCACGGGGGAATTCTTGGCAATACTTTTGCGACTGTTCATCGCTATAATTTTTAAAAACAAAAGTCTAAAAAAAAATAAAAAAATATTAGTTTAATAAATTATTTAACTATATTAATTTGTCAAAAAAATATTTGATACTAAAAGTCACTCTAATTAACTTTATTTATTTTAAATTTAATTTAATATAGTAAAAATTAGTGAGATGATGTTTACAAAAAAAGCTAATTGTTTTCACTTTCCCTGTTTTGTGTAAAAATAAATCGTATCTGGTTTGGAAAATAGTACATCTGACAACAAGTTAGACTAATGGGTAATTCTAAAATGGCTAAGTAACTGCCAATTAAAATCATAGGCATATAAGTTGTAAAAGTTGCTAGTGAGTCATCAATGAAGTGTATAATATGAAATAATTGATTAACTAAAAAAAAATGTGAAACTTGAAATAATAAATACAACTATTACAAAATAAATTATTATTTTTTATATTGTTTTAGAAAAAACTAAAAACATACATATATCATACGATTAGATATGATGCTAGTTCTATTATAGAAAAGATAAAATTGTATTAAACTTCATTAGGTTCACAGGAATCATTACATTTTCAATGGCTAACACAATCATATAACACTTGGCAGATTTTAGTTGAATCATTTTTGCGGAAAATAAAAAAAAGTAATTCACACAATTATTTGTTTAAAGTTTAGTTACACTAAATACAGTGTAAACATATTCGCACTGCCGCCTGTTGAGAAGTAGTACTTTGCTACAGGAGACCAGTTTCTTGGTCAAACTGGTTTTTATGATCTGCTACGGCATGTCCGATACTTCGTCCACAGTTTCCATTGATGCAAAAAATAAACGTACTCGTACACAAACATAACTATGACTTTCACATTTTAATAGAAGGCGACGGCGGTGCTTTTTATATCGATCATTATTAATATAAGTAACTAGCTATAGACCTAGTGCAACTTGACTCAAGAAGCATACCATTAAGTATATCGATAGCTGCTATCCAAATCAAAACGTACTCTGACCACTGGTAATGCAACTTATTGTAATCTAGTTAATATCTTTTTCTACGACGGTTATAGAATAATTTATTTTTAATTTGCCTACCATAGTCGTTTTTATAATACAATACATTTACCGATTTTTTATTCCCAAGAATAACAAGGCAAGACTTTCACGAGACATTTTATCTCTGTATCCGCAATCGGATACTCAAGTGATGATCTATGGACTCTAACTGTCAGTATGTGTAATAATAATAAGCAATAAGATGACGAATGTCACCAACGTTTGAGCTCAGAAAAAATTAATCTTCGGTCGTAATCCAACATCAGCACAGGTCAAGCCCATACATTTTCTCTCGTTTAAATTTGTCCACAGAATCTTTTATTTATTTTATACACCGTCATCATAATATTGTGTAATTTAATTTATACGCTTAATAAGCTCGATCGTTTTATATTAATAGTATACGATGTACTATATGGTTTTTTCAGCCAAGTTTTCAAGTCAAAACACAAAACGGCGTTCAATATCATGTTCTTGTGCAATTTATTTTCCTTTTACTTTTCTCATTAATAAACTTAATTTAAAAATGGAAAAAATCACTTAATATCTAACTAGTAGTATTTTATATTAAATTATAAGTTTTTAAAAAATAGTTTATATCCATCAATTATATACTATGCGTGTCATTTATGCAGAAATATAGAAAATTATTGGATTTTCGAAGCGAACCGTTGATTTCAAATTAACGTTTTATGTAACTACTTTCAACGACAACTATAATCTTTCAAGCAGAATTGAACGTAAAATCAGGCAATGAGATGTTTTAATGGTTAAATTTTGTATTTTATTTACATCCAAAGTAGAAGTTTTGTAATTATTTGTGTGCAATACACGTATACGCTAATATACTGTGGTCAGTAATCACGTTGAACAAATGTAGCACAAATTTCTCTGAAAAATAGTAACATATGTTTGGATCTAGTAAATATTGTTGTTATAATACTTCTGGTTACCATATTATAATTGCACCACTAGTAGACACTTACTGAGAATTAATATAAAGCACATCTAGAAAGGCCTGCAATAATCTTCATATCGATCATTTTTATTTAGATATAAAACTTTCTTGATAATTCGACAGCTTTCATCATAAAGAAGAGTTCGAATCTCTAGTTTAAGAATCAATTAGACATCATACAGATGCGAAAAATAACTACTATACAATAAAGAAATATATCTACCATATAGATACACATAACTTACGATATTCTTAATTGAGGAAGCGAATTTGATATCAAATGGGTCGTCTGTCCCGGAGAACGTTTGTGACGTGTCAGCGTTTGATTTTTCCCGCTAAACGGTTGTGTCACGTCGATACAGTATACTTTGTGATAATATTACAACTGTAAAGTCTAATTACTTAACCCACAGAATAAAGTCAGACGTGTATGTGGTGTAACCACTGAGTTGTTATTATTTTTTTATTTCTAATCTCTCATTTGTAAGACTTGTTCGTCGATGTGTTTACACCCACAGATGAGATAACGCACGCCTGTGCGGATAATTTTTTGAAAAAGTACCTTTGGGCTTAATAGGTGACGCCGAGTGTAAAGTAAATATCATGAACATTAGTTTTCAAACAACTTATAAAAATAGAAAATTTACTGAAATGAACTGAAATAGGCAATAAATGATACGTGGGATATGTAAATATGAGATAACGCCGTAGTTTCATACGAGTTAGAAATCTCGTAAGTCATAAGAAATGCAAATTGCGAAAACAGACATACAAGCGATCTGTGTATTTGGAACAAATGTCAATCTATACACAGTTTATAAAAAATGTAATTGATTGTGTGTATGTTTGTTGATTTATTAAACGAATATTTGACTGTATTGGAGAACCAAGAGGTCGTGCGGATACACCTACGCAGTTTTTCCTCGTATACTAATCACCTGTTACGAGCCAGAGGATAATTGTAAATTATCGTACACACGAATTATTGTTATGAAATGAAAGGGAATAAAACGGCACAAGTTACTCGCGCTAGTAGTTTATAAATGAACAATTTGTTTTTTCCCTCGTGACCCGCACACGTTCCAGCAGCACAATTACAATAATGAAAAAAAAACTATAGCTTTATGGCACGTAACAGAACAGTGTTTGGAAAAGAATGATTTAGGAAAACTATTAATACCATATCTTCATACAGCTGTTTAAATTTCAAACACCTTTACAATTATTATAATAACCGTATTACTATCGACACTATGCTTTTTAACCAGCACGTTATCGGCGCACAACTTTAAACCATCTGTTCTGATGCATTTGGGTCATATCGTATGTGTAATATTCGTGCACATTCAATCCATCACAACGATGACTGGGCCATTTCCTCTGCGTCCATTCACCGATCAACCCGAGATAGTGCACTTAAACTGCCGTTGTTTCTTTGCTCTAAGTTATAACAATGTGTACCTACATATTATTATATGCACGCATAACTACAACGCTGACAATTCACTTATTCTCGACAGTGTCGTCGTGTTTCCATTGCACACAGAAAGAAAAGAAAAATGTGTTTCGAAATGACACAGAAATGTTTCCAACAATAATTATTTACTGCACTCCGAGACTCATCTCTTCGGACATCTACAATGGATGACGCGTTAACCATTAACAAACGCATAACCTCGAAGTTGCAATTAATGTTCAGCGACAGATTTGAAATGGAAGAAGTCAGTTGTAAAATTTAAACAACTTAGTTATAGACGTTTCAGTTTTCGCAACATAATTTGTTTAAGCATTACTGAATTTCTTAGGAATTATTTAACAAAGACTTGGGTTATTATTAAATCACTCTTGTGCTAGCGAATTATTATATTTTTATTACTTACAATTTAATTGTTCATGGCCTTCACTGATTTTTTTTATCAGAATTACATAGGTACCACGTATCGATAAAATTAGTTTCGATCATATAAGCAGAAGATTTATGATTTTCCGGCACAAGTTTTCAGTACTTGGATCACGAAGAAATTCTTTATTTATGATTATTGTGCGTATCCGTACTTTCGAATTAGAAACTACCAAGTATTCCTCTCTTTTAGCGTTCTTTGTCAATATAACTTCTCGAGTCTCTTTAAAGAAACGTGCGGTATAGTGTATATACAAAACTCCCTCGCAAATGACCACATAGCACGCGTTTCTCCCCAAAACGAGCAGAACGTCTGCCTTATGGGATTTCGTCAACGCAGCTGCCACTGTTGACTGATGAGGGGGACAGAAACCTCGTGCCAAAGACGAGGTTTGGGGATAAAATACCCTATGAGTGCAGTGTAGAAAACTCTGATAATATAGTCGAAACTCGATATTGGTTTTCTATATCACAGAGCGTTATATGAAAGCGGGAACTTGTTAATGCTCAATAATAATAATGTTACATCGTGTGTTATGTGCGTTTACGTTAATGGATTTGTATCAGATTCACAACCTTGAAGATACATGAGATAACTGCTATTGTTTTCTATTTTAATGCGATGGCCGTGATTTCTTTACGATGTATCGATAACAATTCGCCAATTCAAATTAAAATGACTGGTGTATGTTAAAAATTATCTTTCGAAATTTATGCACATTCAGATGACCATGGAAAGGTTACGACTTCACACAAAAGGTGACGCTCTGTTAGTTTTCAAATCGTCACAGCATCCGAATTGCTCGTATTTATTAACATGTTGTCGCAGCAAATATTTTATTAACCAAAATAAATAGACTAATGATAAATGTATTTATCAATAGTATTTTAAATGAAATAAATCAACTGAATTAGGCTCTTGAAATAGATCCAATTTGGAAGGAAACTCACTGAACCATGCGACTTTCATAAATAAATCTTCATATTAAGCTGATGTAGCATTGCACGCAGTAGTAGCAAGTATTTTTTGTTGAAAATCATTAATAGAAATATATATATATTTGCTATATAACAAATGCACATCTTAACTAATATCAGTACTACTTCAAATAATCATAAAGAA